TGAAGCTGGACTCTTTTTGACGCATGATTATGTCAAAATTGTGGATGTAACTATTAAGCACATTCATGTTCCTGGCATATTTAAAGAGTAATGAAGTTAAAACGCGACCCTACGTAAATTTCTGCAAGCGATGACGCTATCACAAAATCCATCAAACAGGGGATATAAACTTGTAAGGCAGATGATGTCAAGCTTTCCAATAAATCTACACAATGATAACTCAGCTCCGTTTGGGGACACATGTAAATAGCCTGATTTATTATTCTCAAAGTAACATCAGTTAAATATATTCGCTAAATCAAGTAACATGCGTAACCTTAATACAAAAGATCAGGTTTATTTTTAGGAGGAAAAAAAGGAAAAACAGGTTCAGCGAACACATGGTCCGAATGATTCGCAGACAAGAAAAAGTTAAAATGCTGTCTGGCATACTACTGAATTCAGTCAAATTTTAAATGTAGGAGTGCATTGAATTACGTGCACGTATATAGTTAACAAAACGTCATGATCATACCAAGGTAAAGCTTGAAATGCGAAATATACCAGAATTGTGACATTCTTGCTACTTATCTAAAAAATTGAATTTAAGTCTCTCGTGTTCAAAACACAGTTTGAAATATAAATTAAAATTTTTGTTTTAGGGAAACTAATGTAAGTAAACAAAAAAGGCTGCTTCAATCACAATAAACTTCTCAATTTAGTTAACCTGGGACCTAATAATGACGCCACTGACTTTCGGCAAATCCAAATACTCCATTACCATTGCTTGCAAAACTTTGCCACTCTTAAGTTACATTTTTGTCCGTATTTTTAAGTCGTAAATGTTACTACCTGAACAGAAAAATTAGAAATAGCTTACTGTTTGCATTGCATACTAAGAAGTCAATGTAGTTACGATTAAAACGATGGACGATACAATGAAAAGCGTTCCATAAACTTGAGCGAAGTTGTAATAGAAAACCTCGTTAGAAATAAGATCAATTAAGTTGGTTAGTGATTGACCTTTAAAATCTGGGAAAATTACATGTATGACCTCATTTTGCATAGATTATAAAGTTCTCAAGGAAACACCATACTAATGCAATGAATGTAAGACAATCTAGGTCAGGTGGAGTTGGAAAAATAATGACATTCATAAAAAGTCTGAGCCTACAGGACATACCTTCAGGTGAACTATTTTGTTTAAACATGTTAAATTAACATTTTGAGAAACAGTGTAGTTGATCTATGAGCTTTGCCTTCACAACTTCAAAGATATTTAGATCTTGACATCAAAAGGCCTCCAAATAGAGGTTGAAACAGTGAGCATTACATAAAAGGTTTCAAGGATTTTAGTATCTTGCTCAGGTTAACGGGCAACAAGAGAGGTGACATTGAAAGGCTATGTGTGACTGGATTTCAACTGAGACATCTAACAGTGGACACAGAATTGAGTGATCTGAAGCAGTTCAACGCTCCAGTCGCACGATTCTATCTTGTCCACATTGATTTCGCAGCACCTTTGCTATGAGTCAGAAGATTAATTACCCACTTTTTGCGTCGTTCCTTTCATTTGATAGGAAGATGTTAACCAAGTGCAAAAAATTCGCCGATGCACCCACAAAAATGTTCGTCGAAAGGCAGAATTTTCATCAGTATGGAGAAAGGCACAAACTTCCATTCATTCCCACTGTCAGCTGAGACACTTAAAATATTTGATTTAAATTCATTTTATTTGACAAGACCATTGACTCTTATCGTACTTGGAATTTGATTTATCTTACAGGATGCCGGCAGAAATAGTTTTTAGTACAATGCTAAACATTTAAGGTTGTCCTACAGTATTGCATCTTGGCCAAGCCACTTCAAGTTACGTCAAATTCCCGCGTGAGATATTAAGCAACCCGAAGCTTATCGGCCACAGCTTCTTACACTTCATGTGCTCATGTGTTCATTAAGCATGGAGACATCAGAAAGTCACTTCATCAACCAACCCACCATGGACCTTTAATTTTACTCTGACCAGCAGTAAACGTCTTTATCGTTTACCGTAACGGAAGAAAAAAACCCATCCCCTTCAGTCGCCTTACACCGCTTTTCTCTAAAGAAACGTCATCAAACAATGGCTCTTATTTAAATGCAGTCCCCTAGCCCAATCGCCATATGGTTTGAGCAACATAACATCGAACATCTCAACCGTTCTGACATGAACAGGATGCAAATCTACTAGCGATAAGAAAAAGACATTTTTTTTCTTACGGTTGGGACCAGCATTTCAGGTTCATGGCAGGAAGTAAGAGTTGATACAGTCCATTGGAACATAACCACGCCTCAATTCATGACTATAACTTTTAAAAACTCGGTATCACTATTCGTCTCCAGACCATTATCTAGCTCATCTCGTTTTTGGCGAACTTCAACCTGGCCTCCCTAGACAATGGTCATTGGTCAATAATTCACGAATAAAGACCAAAAACCAAGCTCGGCCTGCGACTAAATTTGTAATTAGTCAGTCTGTTTTTAATGATAGGAAGATCACCTCTTGGCGATTATCAGGCTCGCAAGAGACGTGCTCAAAAGAGTTCATGAGTGACCTCACCAGACATGAGCAAATGTTAATCAGTTTGATTACTTGGTCCTTGTTCAATTTTGACGTCTTGGAATTTCCTTATTGATATGAATGCTTGTTATGCGTTTTTCTCGTATATATACCAAAATATAAGACGAAGACAATAAAAAATCTCTTACGGGTGTAATAAAAGATCAAGTTCCCAATTAAGCTTCAAATTACCCGAAAAATTATAATTTCAGTTTACAGAACATTGCTTGGTGTTTATACAAAACAAGGCAGAAGTTATAGGCATTAATTCATGTTGCATGACACCAAAGCACTGATCCTTTTAAAGAGTCTAATTTTGAAAAAAACTAACAAGCAATGCAAGCACATAAAATACTGACAGGTAAATCGTTCTAAAGAGCTTACGACAAAACGCCATTGTATTTGATAATGAATGACAAATTAATTGATTAAATCATGTACACATGATTGGGTTATGCACGTCTATGAAAAAGTCTCAGGAAGCTTACTAAATAGCTGTAAGTTAGACTTTTTGTTTTTTACCTTGTTGAATACCGACAATCTGCTATAAGCACTGGCGAGTTGTTGGCATTAATATATTCGATAAAAAAGATGAATAGGAATAAAAATCGTCACATAAAATACCACAACAAACCAAAACATTTTAACTACACCTTAAAACTTAAAGAGAACCTTAAAAGTCAAGATACGCACCTTTGTATACGTGTCTGAAAGTGTACAGTTTGGCTGAGAGCAGCAGGATTCAGGAATGGAGACATTCTGTTTTGTGTAGTCAAGAGCACTGTCTGCACCACAACAAGCAAACTAAAGCGTAGGCAAATGCACGAAACCATACCTCCCTTTGAGTTTGATCCATTTGTTTTTTTGATTCTATATCTTTGGTGTAATTTGCAACGAGATCATTTATCGAATTTATGACAACATTTTCCAACTGCGGACGTAAAATTCAAAAAACACCTACCTTTATTTTCATTACAAAAGCTACCGCTGCAACGCATATCTCAAGAATAAAAACAATGCACGTGATAGCAGCATACTAGAAATTTTAAACAGATGATCGTTATGATTTACCATTCGAAGCATGCAGAGATTATCTCTTTTGCTTCCATATATGCCAAGTACGCAGACTAATATGGTTCCGAATCCGACAGCAAGCAAAATAACCGGAATAATAGGAAAACTTGAGGTCCGTGAATAAGTGATTGTACGGAAGCTTTGAATAAGATAACTTCCGATACCTACTAGGCATAAACTTGTTACCTAAAAAGTTTAAACATTTTTTAAACAAACTATCATGTAAATTATGGTTATATTGTGTAGGATTTTCAAACATTTGAAGGTTGAACTATCATCGGCAGCCTTCGGACCCATCAGAAACAGACTAGCTTTGCAACTTCTAAAATGTAACTTCCCCAAACCAAAGGCCGAAATTCTTCGATTAAGACGAATAAACACGGTAATAGAAATAGCGAATCGCCAACTTTGGCTACACATGCTATTACAAAATCTGATTAACAACAGTTAGAAAATCATATTATAAATAACTATATAGAAATTTTTAGTCACAAATTTCAGGTTTCAGAAAATGAATAAATCAAAATTGAATTCAACTTTAATCTGTAATTGACCTGTAGTAGTACTGTGATGTAAGAAACCATAATCCAAAAAAGTAAAAAAATTTTTGTGTAATAAAATACACTCGACATTTCGAATTAGACTTATTCGAAGCAAAATCTATTGATTTATTGGTTAAATGAATCAGATTTTAAGATCAGGTAAAAACAAATTGAAAGACATAGTTTTGCAAAATTACCATGACTAATTATGCAAAAAGAGGCTGTTTTAACCAAAATACTCATAACATTCCAAAAAAGATACAAAACTTCTCTGTAAAACGGAGAGAATATCATCAATAGCAAAAATCAATTCGTAAATAGTGACCGAACAACGATAAACTAATTCGTAATTCACAACTATTGTATCGCTTTCGATTGGACACCAGGCATAAAGCTCGCAGACACCATTGCCAAATTGCTTTGTAGTGCGAAAGCACTGTCAACTAAAGGCCACTTGAAACTTTTCAGGTATTCCATTTTATTTGTAAAAAAGTATTGCTATTTTATTGCTTTAAATTTTATCTGCCTTACAATGGGCATGGAGAAATAGTTTTCGGTGCATTGATGAGCATTAAAGGCAGTTCTACAGTACTACATCATAAACGTCCTGGCCAGGCCACTTCAGGGTCTTTTAATTTAAGTTAAAAATATTAAAAAAATTGACGGTTGCAACTTTTTTTTAGTTAAATATGATGCGGCATTAGAGTTTTTGCGTGTATTTTGCAATTAGTCTTTGCGTTTTATCGCACCAATGTCAGCCTCTTACGGACGTCCGCCTTTTTAAGCTTTTTTGATTTTCCTGGAAAATGCGGCTTTTGGATATTCTATTTACATATGAAACTCCAAAAATGGTAGAAATTACTAATTACAAGATTGGTATTTTTCACCGACTTCTTCAATTAGTGATTGGTGTGTATGTAATATGGTATGTTTTAAGTCGTCATAGCCAATTTATTAATAGTTGGGTAATTATATATGAAAAGGGCTATCAAGTTAATGACGAAGTAGTTTCTTCAACAGTTACAAAAACTAAGGGACTAATGTTCGACACCTGGAACAGTAAAAATGAAACTTTTACACTAATATTGGATTCCGCCGATATCGTGAGGCCATCACTTGAAAATAATGCGTTTTTTGTTACCACGCACCAAATCGTTACGCCCAACCAAACACCAGGCCGATGCCCAGGGGTAGTTTTTCTTTTTCTTATTGTTAAGGTGCTAACTAGCAAAACGTCATGCCTCAATGATAGCGACTGCAAAAAATTGGAAATCTCTGTCTCTGAAGCGGGTAGGATATTTACATGCTCTATAAAATGCTTACCTTTAAAATGCTTTTAGAACTGTAAAATAATGCAATGGTTTTTTCGTCTTAATTTCACTTGCGTTACTCAAAATATATGTCTTTTTTAACTAAGCCAATAAATGCAATGTTAATCATATTATCCTCTACAGACGCTTCCTGCCTTTTCCGTTTTAGGTATCAAGACCGGGAAATGCATCATACTGCAGGATGGCATTGGTGTCTGCGAGCTTTATGCCTGGTGTCCACTCGAAAACGATACAATAGTTGTGAATTACGATTTAAATGCTCGCTTTGAAATGATCTCAAATTACACCGTCTATATAAAGAACGATATTGAGTATCCAAAGTTCCATCTAAAAAGGTCTGTTTTAACTTCTTTGGCGCAGCACTGTACATGGTTGTTTGACATTGATGTTTCTGTTCATTCTAGCTAATTGAAAGCAACAAAGCATTAGCACTTTTGGTTTCATTAATGCCTTGTGCATTAAATGCAGTAGAAAAGATTAATGTTTATGACTGTAAGGGTGGCATTAAGCTTTTTGTCATTATCTCGTACAAGCTAATTGTACATCTATGGGCGAAAGCAATTGAGCTAAATTTTAGGGTTTCAAAACCACCCTTATGTCCAAAGTTTTTAAATGTTGGTTTCACTCTATGTGAATTTCAGAAGAAATCGTGATGCCTGGGAATCAACGAAACCTTTAGGTTCATGTCGGTACAACCCAGATCACCCCGTTGACAAGAATTGTCCAATTTTTAAATTCACCACTATATTTAAAGAGGTTGGACTGACTCCAGAGACTCTTATAAGGGTTAGTAAGTTAATTATTCGTAGCTTTGTTACCTTGACTCTGTCATGCTTCTGACATGGATGCATGTATGTATGCTAGGATCAGATCATATATCAGGAATTTTTAAGCATTCAGCTTTCACCCTAGTCCACTAACAAATTATCCCACAAATCTTTGATTAACTCTATAATGGATGAAGTTTGCTTGCTCTAAATATTGTTACCCTCGACACTGGTCTGGTTTTTAGTTTTACAGCAGTGTTTATGGACTTTGATTATATTTTGACAGCATTTTAATCTTAGTTTCAAAATATATCCTTTCTTAATGGCTATTTCGAAATAAGTTTCTGAGGATTGGTGAGAATCAATTTTCTAATTTGAATCTAAATGGATCTTTTTTAGCATTCACTGGCTTTACCTTGTGGCAGACTTGGATAAATTATTGTTAAATGCCCCGGTTACCATACTAGCAACAATTTTACCTTCTTTTGAGACAGATCTTGTTTATTTACGTGTGTGAGTGTTTATTTAGTTATGTTTCAAATGCTTAAGAATATGTTTTTTGGCAATATTGGTGTCTTTTATGATGTTGTGTTCGTATAAAAAAATTTGCTTTAAAGTGAACGAATTATGGTCAATTTATCGATAAGTTAGACACACAATATCTTAGAAGCCCATTTTTCTTATTTAGCAAATTGCGTTGCATTTGGAACTTTGTTAAATTTATAATAATGTACGGAATTTTCCGTATTTTATTAAAAATGCAATTAAATTCGGACTACATTCTGTAATGCAATCTCTTGAAATATCATTGACCTATTCCAATTTAAGGGGGGTGTCATTGGAATTATCATTAATTGGGATTGCGATTTGGATTGGGGCATCGACAGTTGCAAGCCAACGTACTCATTTACTAATTTGGATGTGTTAAATGATGGAAGCAGTGGATTTAACTACAGGTGAGCTGTTTTTAATATGGCTCTGTTTTTTAATGTATGTGGTGTCTTTAAGGTCACTGAGACGTTTAAAGAAAAGCAACTCATTTTGGTATTTTGCATGCCCTGCAGTTTAGCTCCATAACTGACTAATTTTACTTTCGGCACAACCATATGCAGCGATCCTGCTAGTTTTCATTGGCTCAGTAAAACATCATTAAACTCCTTCACGTTTGAATATCCCAAATAATCCAATAAATGGTTAATCTCACCGTACGTTTTTTACAATCAATTGTTTTTGCTTCTTTTTAAGTCACAATTCATCTGCCTGCTTTATTGACATTCAAATATTTTTTGAGATGAACTCTGCCCAGATAGAGGATTTAATTTGAGAATGTGGCCTTGTGCGCTTTCAACAATATAGGTTTCTCGAAGTGTAACTACATTACTCATCTAAGTATGTTTTTATCAGCCATTTACTTGCTGCCTCTATTTTACTGTTATCTTAATTTTAACTAAGTTATTACACGTCATTTAACCTAAGAAAAGTAAATCATAATTTTACTTTTGATCTAATACAATACCTTATTTATTTTTCGTCAATTTTTCACAGATTTACATTATAGGCATTTGCCCTTTTCCATGTGCCTGCGTAGACAGTTTTCCTTAGCATAATTGGCCTAAATTGGCATTTGCTTCACTAACCGACGTTTTGGCTCAGATTGCTGATGTGCAGAAACAGGAGTGCAGTTAGTAGGGGCAACACGAAGACAACAAATCCGACGTTTCAGTGGCTCGTTGCGGTCATTTGCTGTGCGCGGAAATAAATAAACTTGAAGATGGCTAAATACAATTCCGATCCGCGAATTAGCAGCTGTTTTGCGAAAACGAAAACTATACTGCGCGATGGTAGACCTTAGAAGCCTCTATGAAATCCAGTGCAAAATCATGCAATGCGTGCAAATGCTGACAGATTTCCCAGTGTAGAACGGCTCTGCATAATAAAATCACCTTGTATCGAGTTGCAAAATTAGTTAAGAAACTCCTGCAGACAACATAAGTTTATTTTCCCTGTAATGTTTGAATGTGAACTCCTCGATTATGCCAGATTAACATTTCTGTTCCCTTCGAAAAGTAATAAAATTCCCGGTAACAAACTTTGTGACTGCCATATATATTCAGCCCGATTTTGGGCTTGTTCTGCCACCAAACGGGTGCCCTAATTGGTCATCTGGCACTCAGGACTAAAAATAATGCCTTCTGTTTTGTGACGTTTCATCCGCCAGCTAGAAAGTGCATGGATAAATATTTCTTACAAGTGCCGTCTAAATATCAAATTTGTTCTAAAATTTTTCACATAGTGCTCATGGAAAAATCAATTCCTCGTTAAATCATAAATGAGTAAGTCATTAAAAACCATTCTTTTGTTAAAGCTATGAACTTTGTAAGCGGTTAGCAATTGAAAAATAGCAAAATATTGACCAATAAAATTGTACCAACAATCGTTCTCATTCTTCTGAGAGCACGACACAGTGTACTTGTCGTGGACCCATAAATTCTGTCCTGCCTCTTTTGAAATCTAGGAGTTGAAAATAGTGAGAGTGCTCTTGTATTTAAACATTTCTTATTTCAACCCACATCGTTTTGTGAATAACTAACAGAGCACAATTGCGTAATATTTTGCATATTTCAGGTACGCTCTTCGATATCGGCAGGATGGGAGAATTTACAGGGACCTAGTAAAGGCGATCGGGCTGAGGTTTTCAATATTTGTTCACGGAACTGCAGGAAAATTTAGCATTATTCCTCTTCTTTTGAATGTTGGCTCAGGTCTGGCGCTTCTAAGTGTGGTGCGTCAAAATCGCTTCTTATTACTATATGTGACCTTCTACTTAGTAACTGGAATTGCTAAATTATCTGGAGGGATAATTCTCACAAATTCGTTTTCGCGACATGATGTCCGTTAATTTGAAGAGGTCGGTTAAAATTGCCTCACAAAAAGCTTGCTACGCTTTCACATATTAAGCCACACTTTTTTAGTTCGCCGATACTTCTTTTACTGTTTTTGGATTTTGGTAGATATAAGGTCGACCGAATTACGAATAAATCTTTTTACTGTCTGATTGAAATGAAGAAGAATGGGAGTCAAGTTTGAGAGCAAAATCTTTTCGGAATTTTTTCATCAATTTCTCAAGTGCAAGATTCTGCTTTCAATTAACATCCACAAGGACTTTTTGTAGTGACCCACGGTAGAACCGTAATGATTAATTAAAGGTTAAGTGCAACTTCACCTAAATTTAGTAGCTATGAGGTAGATTTTTGTGCGTTTTCTTCTTTGTGCAAATAGACCTTAATTCATTGGACCTTGTTTGGTCACAAATTAGCACATTAAAGGATTGTATTTCAAAGTCAGTAATGTTTATTCTCACTAATTTATGGCCTTGATTACAAAGCCGTGTTTTTTGTTCAACGATTGTCTATTATTATTTGGCGATGAGTAGTCAAAAACAGTTAAATTAAGTTTAACTTTGGAAATATTCAAAGAAATGAAAGAAATTCAGGAAGATACAGATGTAGGTCTGAGGAGATTAGTCAAAATTTTCTCCATTCAACATTTACTTGCGATTTTGTCACGTTTATTTATTACATCCGAAGATCCGATTCTAAGCTTGACTATGCAAGTTTCAGTTTGCCTTTTAGACTACCAAAAGGATAAATTTGGATTACTTTTTACTAAACTGTCGATATGACTGAAATATTCTCGTCTTGGAGACGTAATTTAGGTACTACCCGTATAATTGAAAAAAACATGTGATTCTCCTAATACTCACATTAATTATTTTTAGTAACTATAGCAAATTTAACCTCTGGAAATTTCGCTTAAAATGGGCCAAATTGTTTTGGCTACTGGGCCGGTTGACTTCAGAAATACGGAAGGGATATTTTATAGGTGATTTGTTTTTAGCAGAATGTAATATTAAAAGTGGTTTAAAGTACCGGAATTCCCTCAATACTGAATTTATGAAATTTGATCTTCAACATCGAGACACGTGAAATCTTTCATACTTAACGCCAAGTAACAGAAAGTGGGTGTGAATTTCAAGGGGTTCTCTATGTTCGAATCTCATATCTGGCAATAACATTTGCTTATTTATGTTTACAAAATCCTTAACGTGGCAAGCTAACTCAACACTAACGTAATTGTGGCTAGTAAATATTTTCTCATTGTACATTTTTTTAAAAGAAACTTCTATAGTAACGAAACTTTTTGTACCTTTTGCGTGCATTAAAAGTTTCTTCAGAGTAACAGAATTGAGGTCATGTCAGGAGAGTATTTTACTGCCTGTGGTGCACCACCTAAGGCCTCTGATTAAAAGCAGCGCATCACCTTTGTGTAACTTTAGTTTGGGCCTTTTCGTTAGTTAACTGATTTAGGTGTAAATATGGTTTCAGTGCAGGTGTACAGCAGTATTTATATAATTTTTAATGAGTTTTTTAAAAAAGGTAATGATCGAACGTGATAACGCCTATGATTAAATCGTCTATAAACCATCCCAAACTCGCAGCCTGAGCTGGAGCACTGATTGCTTAGATTATAAGCCACGTAGTGGGTATGGTTTTCCGAGCTTAGTGCATCGAGAAATATCTACTTTAGGTTGATATTGAACAAAAAAATTTAAAGCAATGAATTTATTGATGGCTTACATTTAATTTAAACATGGCAGCAACTTACTATGTTTTTATGTTTGTGCATCTAGATCATGATTTAAACATAACCTAGGACTTGAACGTGTCATTTGATGGTTTGAGGACCTTAGTTTCACTAAGAGCATTAACAGTTAAGTGAGGTACAGGTCGTTTGTTTTGAGTCAGTGTGACCAAAAACACTGGCTTTGAACAGCCGCAAATTGTGAATAATCATGCATTATGTAATCGTAGCTAGTTCTCTTCTTGTGCCACAAAATTAATAAACCTACAAATCTGATAAAAAATACATATTTTCTTACGAGTGTGTGTGGCTTGAAGTCTGGTCTCATGGAAAAGGCAGGTTTTTTTTAAAAGAAGTCGACTTCATATTGCAGGTAGACACAGTAACGTGTTTGCCATTACATTTTAAGGTCCAGATTTCATCATAGCCTGATTGAAGTTAAGGGAGTTCCTCGCATTGTAAGTGACGAACAGACCTGAACACATGGTTAGCTTTGCTGAAAAAAATTCGGTAAAAGGATGTGGATTTAGACCAAAATCGATGACTAAACCGTTATTTGAAAGTAACGGGAGTGTAGACGATAAGAGCACTAATGCTAGTCTACAGACTAACTGACTAAAGGTGATCCCCCTCCCTACGTCTTCACCCATTTCAGATTATGCAATCAAGTGTTTACTTGGACAATTCAGGCCTATATGGCTGTAGAGCAACAGCAAAGAGCAGTACTGGTCGTCAGTTATTACAGAGATACTTTCAAAGTGACAGTAAAATCATGTAAAATGTGTACTTTTATTTAGTTAATTCCCACATTGCATTATTTTTGGCCGCTGTGAAGAAATATGCATTGTGCTAGGTATGAAAGCAACGTTAAAATGCTGTATTGAAGTAAAACACATTAATGCAATACACTTTAGCATTTAGCGTTAATAACAGCTGACAGCATAATTGCAACGGCATCAATGATTATATGTTTCTCTTTAACTCCACACTCGTAACATTCTACGGGCACTGCATGCAGCGCCAAGCGATCCAATTAGTTCGGCTGAATAGTAGTTGGTGTAGCAATACATTACAATAATTGCAGTTGAACTGAAAGCAGGAAAGTGATTAAACACGACTCGTCTTTTCGTCAGAACGTATATTTTTGTGGTCAAAGGTAGAGGAACATAACCTGCAATCTTTAAGCTTAAAATTAAAATAAATTACCAAAATATTGTCTCGCGGAAATTTATCTTCTGATAAATCAGAACACCTAAATTCAAATCTGTTTTACTCAAGCCTTTCAATAAATAATTTGAAATCCGTGGTTTAGGCTACAATAAAGCTCAACATATCATTTATTAGGTATCCTTAAATCAGCTAACAAGAAAAATTTATACATTGTTTTAACAGTTTAAAGAATCCTTTCACATTTTGCATGGCCCATTTATTGATTAACGATCTTGATATTTCATTAATGCTAATTTTATAAGTGTTATTGTTGACTTAACTCAATGGGTGGCAAAAAACAAAAGATACATAGTGTTAAGATCAAAAGTCTATCATGTTTTCCGAATCCCTGGCTGAAATAGTTTCATAATGTACACCTTCGTCTAAACCTTTCAGTCTGCGAAAGGTTTTGCTTTACAGTGACATCAATTTGACTTTGCTTGAATTATTGCAGAGGCCAAGCACCATTTATAGCTAAAAGGCGCTACTTTGAGTCTGTGAAGGCATCACTTTCTAGGCTTTTTAGTAACTTTACATGAACAGTAGCAGTGGTCATTTTGAAATTAACCAAACTTTTACTTGATTAAAGTTCCAATTATTTGCTGCTGACCTGCTTGTGTCCGAAACTTTAATGATAAAAAATTGAGCCCCTTCGAGGGCATATATTCAGGCGCTTTTATCACAGTCTTTTGTGTACTGAGCGAATGTATTGTAATTGTAGGCTCCTACAATCTGTGACATAATTATCCTCAATATCATTGGCTCCAAAAACGTCTACAAGACGGCGAAGTTTGAGGTACTTACGGAAGCTGAGATAAGCAGAAGATCGAATCAATCTAGAAATGATTTAAGTGGAGAAGGGCCTGTTGTTGATACTTGCCTTATCCATAAAGAAGCACTTTCAGGCGGAATGCCAAAACATTTGGCTGTATCGTCGACGGATAAATCGGAGGAAAAACCGGTCCTGTGACTTAAAGTAAAACGGAAACATGTGACTTTATCGTCTTTCCCTTGTTTCAGTTTTAAGTAATACTACTTGCGCATATTTTAAAAAAAATTTTCCGTATGTAAATTTAACTGCTTATGTTTGGTCTCCCTAATTAGTCATCATTTCCGTTTATTAGAAGCTTAAAATAATACATCCAGGTAAAAACTTTGGATCGATCGTGTAACTCATGCATCCATTAGAATCAAAATCATAACACAAATTGAATGGTGGTTGTCTTAGTGAAGATATCATACAATGTCTGTGGAGAATCCTACTACAGATCTTTATAACCTCCACTTGTGAAATGCATCACGATGTACAACTGATTGTCATTAACTTCTAGAAAATCCGAGCCTGTTCCTAATGATTGACTACCACCGGGTTTCAGGAGCCTGTAGTGCTAACCAGCAGTTTGTGAAAACATAGGCTCAAGCAGCCCTCAAATTGCGCGACTTTTTCTATTTTGCACCAATCACGCACACCTAGCCAATGACGCTTTCTGTGGGGCCCGTGATTGGTCTTGGAAGTGACGCATGTGCCATATTTGTAAATAACACAAGTGTGGTTAGTATAAAAATTCGGATCCTACATATCTTATTTAAATAAGGAATTGTTAGATCTCTTGCCTTTGCATACCATAATAATTTTTTTTTCTGTACGATTTCATAGTTAATTCATTATTTTGCTAAATGCATAATTTTATCTCTTTTACCAGGGAACACAGTTTATGGCAATATCCGATATAATCAGTGGCTGTCTTCAATGCGCACAACACATCATTCGCCTGGACTGAACAAAATATATGTTGTAAACAAACACTAAGACATGTATATCTGCTTTACTGACTTAATTTGATTTATGCTTTGCTTTAAATGAGGTTTATTGTGTGCTGACTAGATGCAGAAACAATTTATTGGCCATTGCAATGACTGAAGAGTTACTTAGCCAACATCAAACTGCAAAATTTACTGCCTGTTGTTTATGCTAAATGTTGCATTTTTTTTCTTTTTTTCTATCAACATGTATATATATGTTAGTCGAAAAAAAGACAACTACTTTGC